AAAAAAAACGGCAGTAATATATTCAAACGCTGGACTTGAACGCCACAGAAGGATACGAAACAAATCAACTTTTTTGTCCAACAAAGGATCGACATTTGCCCGCACATGCGAAATGTAACGGCGTAGCTATTAAAGATTTATGAGAAAGGTCATGATCAGTGGTATATACTCACGGTCTTAATGGTGGCGATCAGTTCGCGTATGCATTCGATGCACGTCGTGGGTTTCCCGCAGATGCTGATGAGACGATCCGTGCTGCGGGGGCAGGTGTTCGAATAGATCTTGATCCTGGCTCCGGTTTTCTGAAACGCAAAAGATATTCGGGCATGTTAGACGACAGTTACACGGGCTCAGGGATCGGGATAGAGTTCGGGAAACTTTCCGCGTACGGATTTGCATTGAAAAAAGGACGCGTGCGCAACGACGATCTACCGTTACGGGCGACAAGTTTGATGACGTCGGCTAAAATAAGAATTCTCTTCAACTCATTTCTCAACTCGGAGAATACGTGGTTCCGCCAATAAAAATTTGCCATGTCTTCAGAAATTTTTAGATCGAAATTAGTTTCACATTTCAGTCTTGTATTTCTTCGACCTTCGCCCGATAAATCGCTGACGTAACGAAACGAGTAACTCTACTCTTCGTGTGTTCTCGACGGTTCTTTTTAATTACTCCGACAATCGGGCATGACTCACGAGCAGGGTGTGATACTCCGTTCGCTTCCTCGACAACTCTCACCCAACCCCCTGGTTAACGACTTAACGATGCTCGAACGTTTTCGTACCCGCTCCACTAATCTGCGCTCCGCTCCGCTCTTTGCCGCGAGGTTTCTAAGTAATACCCCGAGACGACAATGTTCAGATCGCGTGCTGATAGTCGTTTAACAGTCCACCCTTTACTTTCCGAGATCGCGATCACGCCACGTCGAGACGGCTAAGAGCAGAGGTACAACTATTCGGTGGCACTTAAATTTTTCTTAAGCTAATTCGACCTGTCGTTCGCGTCGTAAACTAATCAGCCCGTAAGCTTTCGATGATAAATGGACAGAGAGGTTTACGGCCGTAGGTGAAATTTTATATACGAGTAATTTTGCGCATTTGTGCACGGGGGAAATGAGCGGGGTGTACGATGAACTGACAGACAGTGATGCATATAGGGTGGATACGTGCGCGGAGATAGCTTTGATGGCGAGTAACGCAAAAATGAAAAATTGCCGATAACATCGACAGCCGTATGCTCAAACGCGAAATATCCAAAACAGATAACAATCTATTCCGCTCAGGTACATATATACACCGCGTGCCGCGTCCGGCAACCGTGGGCATTGTACGGAGAAATCGCGCCGTTTAATTACGCAGATCAAAGCAACCCAGTCTCGCCAAACCCCGCCAGACTAGTATACAGGTCCATTCAAACGCTTCCGACGCAGACACAGTCCGGCGATATTGAGGCTCGCGTACGTCTGATACCTGGACACAGCGTTAAATCCAAAGTGATAGAATCGAGAGGGTACATGCGAAGACAGAAGAAGAAAGAGAGAACGCAAATGCAATTTATATACTTCCAAAGTTTAATCGACTCAGTTTTACGGCGCAAGAAATAGCGCGATATTTTTTTAAGGGAGAGAATGAAAGCAAGATAGAGCTGCATTCTGTTCAAACAACGGATGATGTTGGATCGAACATCACAGACAGCGAATAAATGGCGAACAGGCAATATCGCTCGCAGATATAATTGGTCAATGGAATTCATAAATGGGCCGAGAAATAAAAGTGTCGCGTTGTATGACCAGCTGTCTGGTTCGAATGCGATTTGGAAGAAAAATCGATGGAACGTCATCGCAGATCGGTATTTATACATGACTCGTGCCGAGGTGAGGGAAGCCAAATGTGATTTTAATCGAATTAATTAATTCTGCTGATACGATCACAAATCAGACCGGATTAATTTCGGCGCGATAGAAACGAGAGAACGAGCGCGGATTCTTTACACGCGCGACAACAGTTTTAGATTGACAAGGATTGTTCTTGCAGTCAGCATTACCTCTCTGACGTTTGAATCATTTCGCATCCGAAGTTTGCGAGCGTTACACTATCAAGCTTTCATTTATATTGGCCGCATGTATCTTCCGGAACTTTTCAAAAGGGAAACAAAGCGCGTTGCGCTTCATTTATTCATTCCGCATTGTCAAAGTAAGATTTATCGGGGATGGGATCTGGGCTAACGACTTTGATAATTAATCGAAGAGGCTCGCTGTAGAGGGGGAAATAAAAGGTAAAGATAAAAGCTTCTCGCTGTAGTGCTTCTTGACTCGCGTTTCTTGCGGAGAAGCGAGACGCTGCGGGGGAGAGGGCGATCCTCGAAAGAAACTTCCGCCCGCCTGCCTTTCCGCTGGACTTTCCTCTGACATTCGATATCGGTAAACTTGAAAAGAACAACGTGGATCGATCGTCCTTTGTAGAAACCAACCTACCATAAATAGGCAGCGTAAAATAGCAAGAGTACACTCGCGAGAGATTGTATTCCTGCGAGATTTCGCGAGGAAGCGAGATTATTTCGGTCGAAACATCGAGCAATATTACACAATGCTTTGCACCGCACGAAGCTGTCTGCCATGACCTGCAGGGACCTTGATCGTCCTGCCGCATGCCGCGCCGTAGCTATATGGATTTTCAATTTTCCAACAAGTTTCCGAAACTTCTCGCGATCGCGGAGACTTCCGTCCTTTCCCTTCGAGTGAAAATTTTCTTGAGTATTCAAGAGATGACAGAGATAATTAGCTGTCCTCCGAAGTTTCAAGGCCGCGAACTTGAACCAATTATGTCATCTCATGTACGCGCAGCTCGAAAGGATATATGTATGCACAGGAACGCTAATAATTCTCCGAGATTAATAACTTTTGTTTATACCGCGCTTCTCTCATCGCGACTGTATTATCTCCACGAGACGCAATTAAACGTAAAGAGATTTGTATTAGAAGATTAAGGTGGCCGTAAAGTGCTTATGGTAATTCAGCGCAAACATCTATAGGGGACTTCAAAGTCCTCGAGCTGGGAGGATAACCATACGAGAGCGGTTTCGCGAGAATGAACCGCATTGCGCCACCGAATTCGCGTTTGCTTAACAGTCCTCCGTTGCAACGGCATCTCCGTAGCACAAGTTTACAAACTTCCACGATAATACCGTCGCGTCGGCGGCGTCATGCGTCTAATCTAAACGTGAATCGCACTATTCAATTCGAGGCGACGAAGTTCCGTTCCGCGACAAGTTCCGCGCCGACGAGTGCTCTTACGTAAACGTCTAACGAATATCGCAACGATTACAATTGCATAAATGCTAAACGAAGGTGTTATCGGCTGACGCTAATCGTGATATTTGTCTATTACTAGAGCACTCAAGGATAGAAGTTTCAAATGTCATGTATTTTCGCTTCAGTTGTGCCGATGGCATTAGTCGAGCACGACCCACGCTTTCTATATTCCCTGACTTCGACTTTTATTTCTCGAACAAGGCAAGTAATTTTCATCAGTAAACCGATTATTTTAGAGAGAAAGAACGTACTGAAATTAAAAATTCGTGCTTGTGTATCGTAATTGTGTATGAGGGCAAATTAAAAGTAAAAAAATTCGCGAAAAATGTGACTACAATGAAAATAATTCATATCCAAGATAATCCTTATAAAACGAGAAAAAACGGTCGCGGACAGCTTAGTGGCTCGAAAGAATTACGTTTTCGCAAATAACAAACTTTTTACTTAAGCATGAGTTAAAAAAAAGAAATAGACAGTGCTTTTAAATTATAATAACGTTTCTGCGTACAATACCTACAATGGCGTGCGGCTCTATTCTGCAACTCATCGCTAGCCCACCTGAGGTATCAGTCGTTGCATTTTCATGAGATCGTAGTTCACGGAGACGCGAAATTCATACGCATTGTGCGCCATTGGTGAGGAAAGATAGTCATCCGCTTTGCTACCTCGATTCTATTGCGATTTAGCAATTGCAGTGCCGTGTGACTTCCGAAGTGACATTACGGAAAAATAAATCCCACCGTTATATAATCGCAAATCATCTCTCAGGATATCGAGTTTTTTTTCATCAGGTGAGAAGCTACGACACAAAAAATCCTTGACATATGTAAATGTTATAACTCGTCGCGGACGAATAAACGAAGTGACATCTTCCAAATCGCCATTGCTATCATCAAAGTATAATAGATCTCTCGACTCTCCGGATTGCTCCGGCGAATATCCCTTCACTGCCCTGACGTACATTTCGATCAGTAGATTAAAATTTCTCCATATCAAACTGGCAAATGGATGTAGTGCCGATCGATAATCGAAAATTTCGCATCGCGCGATTTTCGGTGCTGTATACGCGGACTTAAATAAGTAATAGCGATTGATTAAACATTAACAACGCACGAATACGCTATACAGATTTCATGTCGGTAGAAATTGGACGAAGATATGAGAGAGACCATAAAATAAATAAGATATCACCGCGCTCGATACTGCTCGTGCGCGCGCGTCGTTTTGTCGGAAATGCCGGGAGAAAAATACGGAGAAAAAGAGAATTCACCGCGCGGGAAACCGTTTCGCGACGTGAAATGCGACAGGTACGAGAGACCCGCTTTCGCCGTCGACATCCGCGAGGAGAAAGAAAGGCAAGCAGCCAGAGCAGTGGCTCTAAATATGCGCGAGATACTCAGAACGCGACAAAGCACGTCGTCGTCGTCATCGTCGCTGTCGTCGTTGCGATCGTGTCGGTTCGTTTACAGCTTATTTTCCCTTTCAAAGTGTTCCCGTGCACGATCGATCTGCCATCGAGATCAAGTCAAAATAGACCGGCACGTGTGTGCGTGTGTGTGTCGTCCGAAGGTGACACGAAGGCAAACCTTTTAAGGATCTTCACAAAGCGATCTAGCTCGCTGTAACATACGCAGAGAGTCACAAATCGTTGCTCGTACGAGGCAACTCGAAGATTTTGCCTTCGTGCATCTTCATAGAGAATCGTTTCTTCTTCAGTGGCATCATAATGGACATCTACACGACCGACGAAGTTACCCGTCATAATAATGCCAACGATCTGTGGATCGTGATACACGGCGCGGTCTACGATGTCACAGCGTTCCACAAGGAACATCCCGGCGGTGAAGAAGTGTTGCTGCAATTAGCGGGGCAAGATGCGACAGAGTGTTTCGATAGCATCGGCCACAGTTACGAGGCGATTAATCTTCGCGAGACTCTCAAAATCGGAGAGCTGGTGGACGATATAAGCCCCGCTGAATCAAAGACGACGACTACAGGTTTGACAATTTGTTTCTTTCCTCGATCGCTTTTCGCGCTTGAATCGCATTGTCCGGATTTAATATTAGTTCGAATCCATAGCTTACGAGTTAACGCCGTGCTGCAGACAAAGTATATCGAGCTTCTATTTGCAATGTTTAGGTCACCGATAAATGTAGACTCATGTACAGGATGCTTCAAAAAAATATTGACACTTATATGGAATTAATTAACTTTTTAGAGAAACAGAACTAATAACACAAAATATAGCAATAAATGTATTTTGTCTTCAAAGAATCTCCATTTGTTTACCCATCATTGCAATGTGCAAAATCTGCGACAGAAAATTATAAATGTGATTGCAACACTACCCAAAGAAATGTGCCTCAGGGCTCTAGAGACCACAAATCGTTGCTGTAGAAGATTCCAAGAACAAGAATGTATTGCACACATGGTGAATAAGTAAAGACTGTGTAAAGATAAAATACATTTGTTACTCTAATATCTTGTGTTATCTTATCAGTTCTGTTTATCTAAAAAACATTACTATACAAGTGTTAGCTTTTTTTTAACATCCTGTATAATCTGTATATCTTTCACGTGTCTCCTTTAATTTCTACGTCTTAATGAGCACTTTTTTTAAACCTAGCACGTTACGTCAACGACCATGAATAATGTACAAGAAATATTACTAACACATTTATTACAATCATTCTATTGTCGTCTTAATAGAGAATCATTTACATATAAATGTACATGTAGCCGTAAATCATTTTTTTGTCTTTCAATGTCATTAAGTTCTTTAGAAACTAAACTTTTTTCTTCTTTATCTATAGAGGTAAAAGAACCAATGGAGGACGATTGGCAGTATCAAGAACCGAAGGCAGAAATGCAGTCCCAGAATATGACGTTCATATGTGGCGCTATCGCAATTTATGCCATAATAATGTTTTACTGGTTCATTCAGTAAACTGTAGATAGAACAAGGCAATTCACGTGCGCAATGTATTAATTTTAGCATAATGCTAAAATTTGCAAAATACAATGTTATATACAACTCAAAGCTACTGGTTTTTTTGTCGCTTTTATTTGTTAAATATCTTAAATAAATAATTTACCTTCGACGATGTAAAACTGTTCTGGCGTAAATGTTTTATTGGATATATATTTATTTGAAAATTTGTTATTTACTATTTAGAGAAATAAAAATATAAATTAAATGAATATTTTTTTACTTTATCTCTTTTGACTTGATCTCAAGGATCTCTCTAATGAAATAAATGAACTTGTACCCTACCTATAGCTCTATCTACATGTATAGTTAAGCTTAAAAATTTATCGCTTATTGAACTTATCATAATTTTGTGTGTTGTAAAATGCAACTTGTAATGAGGCACCCATCACAAAGTAAAAAAAAACATTCGAAAGAGATAACTCAGAAACATAGCTTAAGTAACTCTTCTTGTTGTGATATTTAATTTTGGTGTGTGTTTTATTCGTTCGATATATTTAAACTTTATTCCGCACCAGAAATGTACGTCGAAAGAAAGTATCAGCAGGTTCGTCTGAAGTGTCTCGCAAATAGATCGTGCGTCATTCATAAGAATCATGAGATTCATGAGTATAATTTGCACCAATGCGGAAAAGTCGTCACTCCGTTGATTGACTGAAATTATGAAAGTAAGAAGCGATGAAATGTTTTTATAAATATAAACGTATTATCGGATATGTTGCGTCATTCGTTATCGATTCAAATATTTGCTATTATGGAAGATTGCGGAAGAAAGAAATATCTAATTGCACGCGCGCGATACATGTACATGTATATATTATTAT